TATATAATAACAAAATTTTGCTTTTCTTATAGGTTTATTATTCAAGACGTGTGACATTATGTAACGACGGAAAACGATACAATCTATCAAAACATTGTATTCATTTAAAACAATTCATTACGATACATTATGTAACAACACGTAACAAACATCCAAACAAAGTTTAAGCTTCTTGCTGCTAATTTATATGATCATTTGAGAGTTGATGAAGGTTTGTACCAATTTTCTTATTGTATGAATTAAGACAATTATTTTCTTTCAATATATCTACTTAGACAAATATTTAAAAAATATGACAATGGTGAGGTTTATCTAAATTCTCACGACAAATTATTTCTTTATGGTGTGATTGACTTGTTGAGTTCACATGCAAATTCTTCTCAAGCGTTTTAACTTGTAGGTTCTTAAATAGCTCATTTTTCTCTTCATGTGTTCAATTTGCATACTTTATATAAAATATTGAGATTTATAGGTAGTTTGACGGGGTGTATAAAAATAATATCAGTGTATTAATAATATTAAAACTAGTGTCCTTCGGGATGATTCAGTTGGTTTGGAAATGGTCATCCACACAGATGATTCGAGATCGATCCCCTCTCAATGCCTTCTGAGTCGAATATATCGCATAGGGTGCGTAGTTGGTGAAAATTGCCAAAGATGAAAACAGTAATAATAAGATGACAATTTGACTTCACCCTTAATGAATTATTGAAATTTGACATTTTGATAAAATGCCCTTTTTTTCCTCCTTTCTTAAGAATTACGTATCACCTTTGTTCACATGATTCTATTGTTGATTGCTTTCAAACTTACTTAGATAAATTTCATGTTTACAATAAATAAACCTAAATATGAAATATATAAAAACAAACAAGATCCGTGAGTGATATTCCAATAGTTTGCAATTTCCCTAATTTTATATTGGGAAAATCACATAAATATACTATATTTCACTTTAATGATTTGGGCCGAAAGTCATTCTTATAATATATCACTATTGTTACTTTAGACATTTGGGAGATACAAAATTAACTTACTCTATTAATTCAGATTGTCATTGAATAAACCTATTTAACAATAATAACATTACTTTCGTTGCATACCAAGTCCGATCAATCTTAACATGATAAAAAATCGTTAGTCGAAAGAATGTATTCGAAATAAAAGATGATGGTAGGAGATCTCACAAATTAATTAATAGGTAAATGGAAGACAAAAATATAAAACAAATAACAAAAATTAGGAATATATTTGAACCTTTTCCTTTAAATAAACCAACCAAATTAAAATTCATATTTACATGAAAAAAAAAGCTTAATCAATGAAATAAAAAATATCCATTCTCCCTCCATCTCTCCATGTTTCTTCATTTGTACTTGACATCATTGTTTAAGAAACTATGTTAATCTTCAAATATTTTTATCCAAATTCCCAAAAGGTAGATTCCTTTTTGCACTTGATATCATCTCATACTTGTTCACAATATTTCATTTTATGAATTGTTGGCACACCTAAATCTCAGTGGATCGTGACAGCAAGATCATTCTGCTATACAATATCCCCCCATAAACATATTCAAGTGGATTTTTTTGGTCATTTCACTATGTAACCAAAAGTTGAGAATAACCAAAATTTGGATGTGGTGATAATGGTGACAAAGGTGGCACTTCAAAAATACCTTTTCCATTTCCACTATCCCAAATTGAAGACCAATTTGAAGGTGTTAATGGAGTTGCCACCATTTGTTCTCTTTTCACCTCTTTCTTCACCACAACTCCGTCATCATTCTCCATTTCTCCTCTTACCCTTTTTTTCCCACAAGAATTCAAATTCAATCTTACTACTTTTTTCTCAATCTCATGATTTTCTTGCTTGAAATTGCTTACTTCAAGTGGGAAATTCATGATTGCTTTACTCCCTCTGAGCCTAAATGCTGCTCTGTCATATGCCATAGCTGCATCGATTGCAGTATCGAATGTTCCTAACCAAACCCGTGTCCCCTTTCTAGTTGGATCACGAATCTCCGCTGCAAATTTCCCCCATGGCCTTTGTCTCACTCCTCTGTATCGCTGTTTCTCCGATTTTTCCACCATTTTCTGAACAGAGTACTCTGTTTTTACTTCCCCTGTTTTTGGTTCCTCTGTTTTCTTGACAGAAGGAATTGAAATGTTTAACGAAGGTTTTCGATCATTGAAACTTCTTTTCTTTTGGGGTTTAGCTTGGAATTCAATTGTTGAGTTGTCGAACAAACGAGAGGCAGATTCAAGATTTGAACTTTGAGCTGTATTGATGAAATCAGGATAAAAAGAGAAATTGCTTTCAAGTTTGATCTCAGAGGTTAATGATTCTAAAGATTCCGAATTCAATGAGGTTTGAGAATAAAGGGTACTACTTGTTTCTAATGAAGAAGAAGAAGAAGAAGAAGAACAATAATTTTCCATGAAAACAACATCATCAAGAAGATGTTGCCTTATCATATCTAGTGAAGAAGAATCCATTTTTAAAAAGTAAAATTTGAAAAAAAATGAGATTTTGTTGGTTGAATATTATGAACGAATTGAATTGAGTGGGAAATGAAGAGTGAAAATGGAGATTATAAAGGGTGGAAAATTTTAAGTCCAATGGAGGTTTCTTGGTGCCTTCTTGGTTAGAACAAGGAAGCCTCTTGTGGGGCTTATCCATTTCCATTTTTTAAAGTATATAATACTATATGGTACCACTTGTTATAATAATAATAATAATAATTAGAGATATTCTTTTTTAATAATAAAATAATAATAATAATAATGAAATAGATGATGTTGATTTTATGTTTTTAGAGTCATTGATGATGTTTCTTCCACTTATGGACCCCTATTTCTAGGTTGCTTCTTTCATTCTTTTTAATTACTTTTCTTTCACTTTTTTACATGAAAGAATGAAGAAAATTGATACTATAGGAAATATAATGAAAAAATAACAATATATGAAGTGAAATTTTATTTAAAGAGAACGATGTGGTTATTTTTGATAGACTTTTCTATCTTTATTTTATAAGGATAGAGAGATTATTTTCGATAAAATTCTTAATTCGAGTAAAACTGATAATATTGAAATTGTCTTTCTATTTAGTATTTTTCATTTGTAATTTTGATAAATAGATTTAAAAAGGAATTTTGAGAGAAGTGAAAATGCAGCTTCTTGTTATTATATTATTAAGGTTTAAGACTTATGATGAGACCGATAAGTTCTTTTCTTAATTAGAAGTTTTCAATTTTAACCTTAGAAGTTACAATAACAATAATAATATATTCAGTGAAATTCACAAGTGGGATTAAAATTCTGGAGAGGATAGAGGTACGCAAGGTAGACAGATTGCTTCCGAAAGATTCTAGTACAGCAAATTCAAGTACAAAAAAACGGAGACAATGACGAAAGTATAGCAAACAACAATAAAATAGTGTGATAATCAAATATCAGAAACAAGAATTATAATAATATTAGTATAATGACAATGACAAGCAGTATTAAGTAAGAATTTATTTTTGAATATTTTTTCTCCATAATTTTAAACTTATATGAATTGATGGTGTAAAATTATTGCGCAACCTTTAAAATATAAAATAGATAATTTAGACTGACAAGTAATTGAACACAACAAAATGAAATTAATAATTTGAAAAATAAATTATTATTCTAGTATATAATGGAAGGGATATGGGTTCACATTACATCCCCCCCAATTATTTTTAATGATGTTATATCTCTTCAAAACTACTTAAATATATATACTTATGTTAGTACTCAAGTTTATAGAGTCTTATGGTGCCATAATTATTAAGTGCGCCTCTATAATTAAGTTTCAGGGTAAAATTTATGTTTTTGGTTCAACGATAAAAATTTAAAAGTTAAATTCGTTAAATTTAAATAATGAATTCGTCTATTTATCATAATGTATTCATCTTCTTGAGATTCTGAATCCATCAAATTACGACTCATAATTGTTTGACTATTGTTCCAATACTAATTAGACACATATTAGCACACATTGCGAACTAATTAAATAAGTGATTAGTGTGATTGCGGTTAAGTTTTCTAAGTCAAAAATAGAACCTACTATTACTTTGGTAGATGTTGAAATGAAGCATATGAAAATGATAATTTGAATGAATTTGGTATTTACAGCTATCATTAGTAACACAATTAGTTGAATTAATTCTTGGTGGATCTAATATAAAGTGAATTAAAATTTTAATGACAAAATAATGCACGTTTTTTTTAGAAAGTTCTATTTTTATTGCAAATATTAATGGAAGGGTCCCTTTTTCCCCTACCATACAATTGTCGATGAATGGAATAAATAAGAATTATAGATTATAAAGCAATAGGTAAAAGAGATTAAGTAGATTATTGATCTACGGTGGAACTATTAGGCATCGTTATCGAAAAAGTAAAAGTTTTCGAAAATAGTTATATATGAAAGAAGCTTATCTTGTCCAGTTATTATTGTGTTTCTGATCACGCTATCTCATAGTTGAGCCATCCTATCTCACTATTCCGACCTCAACCGAACTAGATTCACTACTCTAAGGTGACCTAGGGTTGCGTTCACTATTATTCTTGTTGAGCTGAATCTGATCAAACATTGACTGTCACATATCGTTTTCTGATACGTCCAAATATTGAAATCGTACTTTAACCCATATAAACACATATTTCATTTTCTTAAAAGATGGAATAGTTTCCCAAACCAAATACAAGCTAATTAAGTAAAAAATCTAAAAAAAACTAATATTCTTTATCGAAATCCAAACACAACTTTTTCCCAAAAATATTTACCCACTTATTTCTAAAATATATATAACTAGCGTTTATTCATACATTAACATGAAAAAAAATGAGTTTTTATAATTGTGTTGAATTTTTTTTTTTTGAATTTGAAGTTATATTTAAATTGCCATTTTACTTGAATTTTCTTTCAAAATTGGTTGAGTGAAAGTGAAATATCACCAAAAAGAAAAAAATTATTTGGACTGAATAAATTAAATGATCAAATTTCATGACCACAAATTATTTTCAATAATTTTTTAAGAACCTACTCCTAAAATGTATAGTCAAACGGGTGTTTAATTTATTTTCATTTTGAGAAAAAATCTAAACCAAAGCAAAATTTAAACACTTACTAGTCTATTAATTACCAAGAAAAGAAAAAATTATTAGTCTTGTCAAAGACATAAAAAGTTGTATCATGTATGTATATCACATGAATAGAAAGTAGCTAGCAAAATATGGCACGTAAATCGACAAAAATGGCATAGTTTGACTTTATTGTTCCTTTTTGAAACATATTTTTCAACGATTTTTTGTATTTTAATCTGATTTTTGTATTATTAAAAAACTTGATTAATAGAAATTAATTAACTATAAATAGTAATAGTAACTAGTATGTGTACAATTAGATATACTTGACTTGCATGCAACATCAACTCTAACCAGGCAACCATCATGGGTTGTGGTATAGTGGTGAGACTGTTTCATTTGATTTTGAGTTCGAGCTCTGAGTATTAAGAAAATTTTGTTGGGAAACTCACCACAAATGAGCATTGCAATGCGCGATTTAAATTTAGTCGGGGCTTCAATGTAAGATCTAGATACTGAGTGGGAAATCAGTGTCACCCCATATGAACCTGCAGTGACCGATTCGAATTTAATCGAGACTTCAATATGGAATCCGAAAATTGGTGGGAAACCAAAAAAACCTCTAACAAGACAAGTAAAGTATCCTACGAGGCAAAATTAGAATTTAAAATTTTATTTTTTGCAGTTATTAAATTTAAACTTATGATCAATCATGACCAATAAAAAATTTAAGGCAAATTTAAATTTGAATCAAAATTATTAAATTTGATAAAACTTGTAACTTGAATTCTAGCTCTGACCCTATTTTCAACCACTTGATTAAGAGTCACTATCTTGGTTTTGGTTGCTTTAATTTTCATCAACTTGATGTTGGCCCTAGGAATTATCCAGGTTGCTGCCTTATTTTTTTTTCTTTTTCTTTTTTAATTGTTTTATTTTTGCTGAGGTCTAAGGGGATGAAGCTGGTCACTTTCTTTAATTTTAGGGCCCATTTTCTTTTAAATTGGGATTAATCAGTGGAGAAGTTAAAATTTTTGTTAAGGCTATTTAAGATTTAATATGTATATGAAAACTAATTTTTCTATTTATCTATATATATTTAGTAAAATTTGTCATATATATAATTTTTTGATGAATAATAGTCAACTAATCACCTTTTATTACATGTAGCTATGTCAACTAAGATTAAATATTTATTCAATCAATAATAAAATATACTAATGTAGGAATTATATATTATGTGAAATTTCTTATTCGAAAGACTTAGTCATATACTTGTAATGCACGTATTCTTATAATCGTATTCATATTACAATGACAATATAATCAGTAAAATTTCATAAGTGAGATTTGGGGAAGGTAGGGTGTGTCGCAGATCTTATCACTATCCTGTGGAGGTAGAGATGTTGTTTCAGAAGACCCTCGGCTCAGAATATAGCAAATTCAGATACAAAGAAAAAAATATAACAAATCACAAGAAAACAATGTAAAATCTACCAGAAAATAGCAACAACAACAAAAAAATCGTATTCATATTGTATCTAAAATACAATAATCCACAAATTTTGCATACTTTATGCAACTATACATCAAAGTTTAATAATGCCAAACCAAACACAACATTACATTAGGTAGCAATTATATTTTCTTGTTCAACGACCAGCCAAAAAAATGTCAAATTCTATGTTAATTAATATTTTTTATAGAGGCATTATATTAGTATTAATTAATATAGGTTGTATCTTTAAGGTTTCAACTTTTAATCTAATTAATCATCAAAAATAGCTGCACATTTTGTTATTTTGCCCTATTGTTATTATAATTACCTATGTATGACAGAATGTTTAGCCGACATGATCAATTTTTTTTAGTTGCTTAATTATTTTATATTCTCATGGTCCAAAAAGAAATTTTCATTATACTAGATTGGATTTATATATACTGATAATGTAAAATTTTCTTATGATATTACTGTAGTTTAATCTTTTTAGTGGAAATAATCTTATGACTCTTATGACTATTTAACGATTGAATTTAAAAAAAGAAAGAGATACTTTCAAAATTTTAAAATGTAAAAATGAAGATGTCTTTATGTGTAAAAATTAAGATCATTTATTAAATAATTATCAATTTTAATTTACCCTATATACAATTACTTATTGAATTGCTCTTTAAGATATATAATATGGGACTTATACTATGTGAGAAGAATATTTATGATATTTGAATTTGTAATAAGATGATAACTCGCCAAAATATCATATCGCGTTTGGTTGATCCTTTTTTTTTCATTATCGGTTGGATCTAGAAGTACATTCAGAATTAACGAAAAATCATTATGTGAATTTACGACAACTGACTTTGAAAGAAGAACATCAACTT